TCCAAGCTCAAAAACAGCTCTTGAGTTGAGGCCAAAATGGAGGGAATACCCCACGCTATCCTGAGAGTCCACCTCTACATCAAGTCAAACTCTCCATGCAAAGATAAGGAGCAAATACATTGACAAGGCTGCCACTTTATTTGGGGACTCTAAAACTGAAATCACGGCAACCCTGCTAATGTATTTGCTCCCTATCTAAGCATGGAGAGTTTGTCTTGATGTGGACGTGGCCGACTCTTAGGATAGCGTGGCATATCCCCTCCATTTTGGCCTCAATTTGAGAGCTTTTTTTGAGCTTGGGAGTTGATTTCAGAGAAAACCAGTGGCACCATCGTGTCTCTCGCAAACTTTTCCATAAGAATTAATAGTCAAATCGCAAATTCCTCACACATGCAACGTCTCCATTTCTGAAAATTTCAAGAAAAAATATAGGCACGTAATATTCTTTAAAAGTAAATATTTTATCAGGGAAGATTTGGCAACGTCTAAAAGGTCAGACGACAATTTTCCGTAGCACTACGAGGCCGCTCGATGGTGATCTCTACGGCGATTCGTCCCGTGTTCGGACTGGCCTCTGATATACTGCATCGATTAAGTAAAAAAAATATTGACAGATTATAAAGTTTTGGCCAAAAAATAAGGACGATAGCCCCCACGCATGGGCCTAAAGAATCATTCTCGACCAAAAAAATCGCAAAATCAAAGACATGAAGGCATAACTCTTCTTGTAGAAAACCCGTTTCATTCAACACAGTTTCGAGCTGTGTTTCAAGTGCAAGGCTTTGTATCAATGAAAATCCTGCTTTCATTTCTCCGAATTTTGCAATTTGTTTGTAGTCCAGGCACCTGGTAAGTCTACCTGGAATTTTGGGTACTCAGGAGCGCGTAAGGTATCACGCTCAATTGAAGGCGTTTTCGAATCTTCTGTATTTACAGGACGAGATTTTCGAATTGTTTTGCATTATATTTTAGATTTGAGTACCCTTTATTATTTAGTTAAATTACTCCTGCTTCTCAATTTTTAATTATTCGACAAAAATTATCAATTTGCTATATACAATCCCGTCTTTAGCGCCCTTAAACTACGGTCGTAACGGTCGGAACTGCAGTAGCGGCACAGAAAAACCGAGAAACCACGCGGCGACGCTACTTAAATATTAAGCTTTCTCCAGCTAAGGCGCAAGGATACAACTATTTGAACTCTCCGGAACGCGTGAGGCATCACGTCTCAATTGAAGGCGTTTTCGAATCTTCTGTACTTACAGGACGAGATTTTTCGAATTGTTTTGCCACCATGCGTTTTTCAAACTATAAGTAATTAGCTATAGCTTAGCCAAAGCTTCAAGATTGAGGTTGCTAGATTTTTTTATCGCAGAGACGTTCATGATAACGTTTAACGCGCGATTTGAATCACGTAAAGCATTGAGTTTTCATGGGCGGGTGGTTTGAATTCTCGCATAAAGAATTATTAAATATCTTCGTTAGGAGTTGATTTCGGTAATTTTCGTTGTGCGCATCATGTTCTAAGTGAAATTTTGGTGAAGAAACATGTATCAGAATGCTGAAATTCGTACCTTGTCTAGTGGTCCATTCCGGGGTTTCTACACCACTACTATAAATCCTGTCTTGTCTTGAAAAGGGCAGTATCTGCGTGAATGTGTTTCCGGCAAAGCTCATACATTGCTACTGAATGTGAGTGACTTTCAACTAGAGTCCCTTTATACTGAGAGTCAAGACAACACCCCTTCATGGAGTCACAAACGGGAATAAAGATTACAGAAATCGAACGTTTTTCGTAATCTTTGATCGGCCCATTCTCAAATTCCTTTCTCCGTTCCCTCTCTCATTCCGTTTGTTCCTTGCCGAACCCATAATTCCCTGGTCCATTCCAGATTATAATCTTTGCAATCGGCGAAAATGTAATCTTTATTCCCGTTTGTGACACTGTGAAGGCCTAAAATACGGGAACCAATCAGAAATGGATTCACATTGTCTTGACTCTCAGTATAAATGGACTCTACTTTCAACCATTCGAACAACAATTTATGGCCGACGCAACTGACCCACTGACCCTACAAGGGGTCCTCCATTCATGAATGGAACCAGGAGAATCGAGATGCGCGGCAACATTTCACACAAGTCACCAAACTCACATCCACCATCGCGCCCAGGGCGACGTTGCCAAATCCCGAAAATTTCTCGATTCGTCCGGAAAAACTCCTATCTGCCAGAGGATTTTCCCGGGAGAAATGGCATTGCTGACAGAGCGGTAGATCACTGGGACGGAACTATGTGGCGACGCATAAAATATGTGACGAGAAGATAAAGACGGACAGGAAAAATAAATCCAAAAATAGACCCTTCTAAGGGGTGGTAGAGAAATGCGCGAAGGAAACGGCCTGCGTTCACGCTGGTGTCTTTGCGAGAAGATTCCTCAAGTCGTCTGGTGACAGGTGCGACCTAATATTTTAGGCAGAGGCGTGGCGTGCTTTGCGATATATCGATTGATCTGTCATTTAAACCTGTGGAAAAGGATCGAGTGGAGGGGTGTTCGACACAAACACCTTAATAATCGATTCTTTACCACAACCTCAATAGGAGAAATATCGATAATCGATCACTCACGCCTTGCCATTGAAGTTTTCGACCTTTGCGAGGAGACATATTTTCTTCCGTAACTGGAGACGAAATTCTGTTCGAATCAATCAGGGGTCGATCGTCAAACGAAGCATTTTGTGGCTACTTTAAATGATCTAAAGGCGAGATTTACCCCTACGTTGCGCCGCTACGGATTTTGTGTCTTTGAGAAGCAATAATTGAACGGTTTTTGTGAACACGGAAAAACATGGATTGCTAACTTAACAATTAAATTGTCAGAAAATATGTCCGACTAGTTTAAATCGTACATTTTACGATATTGGAGAGCTAATCTAACGACGAGGAGGGTTAAATTAGCATTTTTTTACTTTAAATTCTACATTGAAATTGAAACATGTCTGACACTTTTTTTAACCACAAAATTGTTAAATCAGCAATTTCATTTTTTTCCCGTAAAGAAAGGCGTAGCCGCAAAATTTTCAGAACTGGGTGGCAGCGCAACGGAGAGGTGAATCTACTACCTGAATTGATCAGCTTTGAAAAAAAACATACAAATAGACTTAAATGAAACATTGAAATAAGATTTCAAAGAGTTCATATTCGTCCAACCGTGCAAAAGAGGCAGTGAGAAAGTTGCAACGTCGCAAAGTAATGTAGGAATGTTTGTTACCTCGCGTCGATGATTTTTTTTTTTTTTTTTTTTTTTTTTTTTTTTTTTTTTATCCAGGACATTCCCCGTCTAACTTTATTCAAAAATTCGCGTCGATGATGAGAAAATGCGTAACTGCGCACGCGCTGGCTTGTAATATCAGCGGCGATCGTGATCTTCTGCCATTAAGTCGAAGCAATACTAGCGAAGGCGCATTGAGCAACTATTTCACCTCGGAAGTATTGCACAGTATCAAACGAAATTGAAGGCGCACTGATGATCGTAAATTATTGACTGGTAGCATTTCCGTGTAGAGTCCTCCTGATGGTACGATATGTGGCTCCTATTCGATTGATTTTTGTGAAACTTTACCAGCTGGCATTTTTTGACGGGAAGCTTTAATTTCAACTTAAATTTTCAAAATTCGGGAATCCAAGATGGTGGATGTGGCCTAAATTGCTATCTCGGCTACTGTTCAATCGATATTGGGGAAATGTGGTGCCAGGGAATATTGTTGAAGTAAAATTCAAAGATCCAAGAGCATGCTATCACGGCGTCTTCGAAATCGAGAAATCTATATTCTTCTTCTGTCCAGTTTGAAAATCAATGTACTCTCAACTAATGCAGATCTCGATATCGACATGTCCTTTAACTTTTTTTGTTGAAACTCCTTGTTTATTTATTGATGTATTTATTTTTTCAATCCTATCTCGGAGAAGTAAAATCAAAGTTAATGGTCCTTGTATTTCAGAATAAATAACGACTTAATCAGCCAAAGCACATAATGACAACTTAATTTGGGGAAATGCTACGACAAAACAAAGGATAAAACGAAAATCTTTGGTTGTATATTCCTTAATTTTGCTGCACTGGGCTGAGTCTGTTTACTTTGTAATCAGTCTCACAATCAGTCTCGCAATAACAGCGAATCAACAACTCATTTTCATTTATTTTTTTGGTTGATAATAATAATATAATCAATTTTGAAACGTTCTGGGGTTTATTTTTTTTATCCTCTGTTTTGTTGCAGCCATTCTCCAAGTAAAGTTTTCAGTTTACATTTTAGAGACGCAAACGCGCCAAAGCAAACTAATAATAAGAATGGTTATCAGTCAGATTGTGTCGGCACTATTTCAACTCTTTGGTCTTGTTTACCTACATCAAGGACTACACAATTTCTTATCCATTTATGTTTGTTTGAGGGTTCCTACTCATACCTACTTCTTTTTCCCTATTCAAAACGGGTTGTCTTTGAAAAATGTACTGAGTTTCGTGTGATCCCATTCCGTACGATCTATTTCGTTATGCATCGGAGCTCGACTATGTGCGCCGGTCCTGTTATCCTTCTTTTGACTGGATAGGCAATACGCATTCACTCTCGTTGAAATTAATGGTATGCCGTTTGCGGCACTGAGTTTGGAGTCTGTATTGAAAACAAGCCTACAGCACTTGAAATTTCTTCATCGGATTAAGGAACGTTTCAAAATTTCTTCTTCATGAGGATCTCCATGAAAAAGAGTCTAATTTTGTTTTAAAAAAAAAAAAAATCCCTTTCCCCTGTTTTCCTTTTTTATCTCCATGTGCACTAAAGTGTTTTGTTTTCCATTCAGGATTTTTTGTTTTTTTAAGATTTAATTCACTTCCATATTTGAAGGGAAAGAGCAGTAACAAATAAATGTAGTAAAATCATTACTAACGACAATGCTGAACACAAGTCATTGAGAGACAAATAGTATGTGGAGATTTGACTTACCATAAACCAGGTTAGGGTTAACCTTTCTTAGGTGACCGATGAGATCTGCAATCCTTGTTAAAAACGAGGAACTAAAAATGTATCCAGTCAGTACATGAGTATAAAAATCTAGGCCGTTTGCTTTGAGTCCTGAGATAATTTCGTCTGAAAAGCAAGGAGATTTATTATCATAATTTAATTGAAAACCAGGTGAGACTAACTAAGTACTTTAAATTTATTGTCAGAGACTATTTTGAATTATTGACTGTAAGATTTTCTTTTATCGCCTATTTCTTTTAAGATACTCTTATTTAAATAGTAGACTTCTTTTTGGTAATTTTTTTTTTTTTTTTAAATTAAAAAAAGAAAAACCTGAGCCATATGATTTAAATCTATTAAGGAAAGATAAAAGATAAAATTCTAGCCCTTTTAATAAAAATTCAGGGCTCAAGGATGTCTTCAAGATTTTTCGGTTGAGAGATTAAATAAATTGCAAAAACTGATTTTTCAGCAGGGGCTGTTTTTGGCACAAGGCAGGCCTTTTGTATGATAACTAAGTTTCGCAATATTTTGTGGTGATAACCACCATATCTCAATTAGATTGTTATCATTTTGATTCCGCTTCATTTTCTGTCTCCTGTATTTGTTGAGTAATGATGTAGATGCTTTGCATGGCTCTTTTCAAGCTCCTAAGTAATTCAACAAGAGTATTTACCCATCTTGTGTGTTCATTATTTATTGTTGTTGATTACAACACATTGTAACACATTTGTGCGACACATTACAATTTTATGTGGAACTTCTGATTCAGATGAAATATGGTAGTCATATCATGTCCTTCAGCAAAGTCTTTCCTAAATAAGCAGCTAAAATCCTCAAAGTTAAAAAAAAAAATCTCAGCCAGAATGCTTTATTAGGCTTCTCTCGTAATTATTTAGATCAAAAATTGAAAAACCACGAATCATAAATCAGATAAGAATGGAAAGTCCCTTACCTAAATCGGATTCTTTTAAAATTTGTCCCTTCCTGATGACTTTGTAACCAGAATGATTTGAGAAGCTGACAGAGTTCAGGGGATCAACCTCAAAACCCAACAACTGTAACAAAAATAAGAAAACAAGAATTATTACCTATGAGTGTTTTCAAAAGGTATGCTCATTCTTGAGATGCAAATTAAAAAATTAACACTGAAAAACTACTAACTTCTTTCATTTTTTAATACCTACTTTATTTTCTGGAGTTCTGTCAGTTCTTTTCCGGATTTAAAATATACTTACCTATTAATTAAAACCAAAAATATAGAGCAAAGCTATCTTTTTAACCCTTTTCAATGCATTTCAACACAGGCTATAATTTTCTGAAGAGGTTAATACTACTTCTGTAATAGAAGATAATTTAATTTGCATGGACGTAGGGAATACTTGAGTGTACGAGCCCTAGCTTACGCATCCCTTGGGGACTGTCTTTGACAAAATACTTATGTTTTATTTTCTGACAAGAAAAAAAGAAAAAGGAAATGGAAGATTAGTAATATTGTTTGTTCGGCGCATACTTTTGACAATGAGGTAGAATGAGGACATTTTCCATGAATACGGAAGTTTTGAGGCTGAGATTGCAGCTGATATTTGCTTCCGAGAATTTTCTCCATCTCTGCAGCAGTTTTTTTAACAAGTTAACAATATTTTGCTGGACAAAACTTCCCCTCTATTTTAGTTAAGAGAACTTACAACTCGCCATGAATTGAATTCGGGACCTCCCAATCATAAAGCAAACGCTACAACTACTACGCTACAGCAGGCCCACCAACAAATTAAAACATGCCCGCAAACAAAGAGCAAACTCCTGAGCTAACTAGTAGTGCACGTCAACATTTTAGATAGAAGCGTATTTTATATCTGGACCTGCAGTCATGCTGCGCCATGTGTGCTGCCTTTGTATTGTGTGATATGTGGTTCAATGCGAAGTAAATATCAGAGAATCGTCAGTCCCAACGAGTTAGCCTTATCTGATATGTGTATTGATTTTGATTTAGGGAGTACAGGTTAGCTACGCGTAGCTTATTAATAACTTGAGGCACGGGCTGGCATTGTCCGCTTTTAGTGTTGTTCAGCATGAGAGGATTATGCAGGACTACCCCTTGAGTTGAGCGTTGAGGCGAATGGACTAACCCCTCAGCCTATACTTTCTAGTGCAACTGCTCATGCAGCCCCTGTATCGGCGATGCTTAAGTGCTTACCCATCTTCACAATAAGTAAGCAAGTGCTACAAAAAGCATACATGTAATGTATTTGAGCTTACTGCAACAGAACTTGGGATACTTGGCCTGAGGAATCATAACAACAACAAATGTGATGAATTTACCTGAAGCGGGAAAGTTGCGCTTTTGTTTCCAACATATCCAGAAACGACATGACTTTGAATTGATAAAACACGCAAATTACTTTGAGACATCGTACTTATGGAATAAAGAAAATTACAGGTCACACCAGAATCAAAGACAATTTAAGAGTTAATTTACTGCAAAGAGAGTGCATGAAGTGCAGGGAATAAGTTCAAGGATTCAAGTCAACTTCACAGAAAATTACACGCCTTACATTTCATACTTGGACACTGGAATGAAGAGCTTCTTGTTGAGCTTCACGCGATGTGTCTAATCAGACTGTTATCACATTAATTGAAATAAAAGACAAACAAATAACGAAGATAAGAAGAGGGTGTTTAGTGATAGCACGAAAATAAATTGGTTAGGTTTGGTATCAGCTGACTGTATATCAACAAAACTTTAGTTCGCAATTCGCCCGCTCTTGCGCCACCGTACGTTCTGACGATGTACCGCGGGAAGTGGCACTCTCGTTTTCAGGAAAAATAAGTACCGAAGTAATTCATGTACTACTTAAGTAATACTAATTTTGATTGTATTATACTCCTTTCTTTTCGTTTTATTTATATATTGCAGCAATGCAACGAGCAAATATTGAAACCTTTTTCCCGATGCAGGTGAAAAAAGACTTCACACTTCTACAGCTTCGTGTTGCTCTCACCTGAAAATTTCCGTTCAATAAAAAGATTCTCAGGTTTTGACTTTACTTATTTATGTTTTTCATGTGTACAGCTAGAAACTAGAAAGCACAACTCGAAAAGGAATGGGGAAACAACTTTTGAAAGGCTCATTTCCACACCACCTTAGGAGAGTCCGATCAGGAAAATGATACGGTACTGCTCCTGGAGGTAGAGCTTTCGGCGCATTTTTTTTTTTAACGTGGTGTCGCCATGAGCCCTAATCCACGGGGGAGGGGGAGGGGGGGACAAAATAGCACACTTACCAACGCTGACGCAGCTCCAACTTCCTCTGTTCCTTGCCGTTTAAAAGCAGCTCTGCTCGTGAGACGGAAGTAGTGCCCACTAAAACTGATTAACGATTATAACCCTTATCTAGCAATGAGGCGAAGTAAAACGGTATCTTACCTTCGGTTGCGGGAACAGCATGAAACGGAAGAAAAAAAAAAAAACCAAAAAAAAAAAAAAAAAAAAAAAAAAAAAAACGGACGATCCCGGTACGACGATCCCGGTACGACGATCCCGGTACGACGATCCTGGTACGACGATCCTGGTACGACGATCCCGTTACGATGACGGCCTCCCCCAACCCCGGCTTCCGGCCCCCAGGTTCCTTTCCCACCTCCTCCCTTTTTTTTTTTTTTTTTTTTTTTTTTTTTTTTTTTTTTTTTT